AGGGGCCTGGGCAGCCAGCCTTTCCGAGCTCCGCCCCTGCTCCCTGGCGGCCCCCTCCCCGCTGAATCCCAGAGCCCTTGGTTTCCAGGTTTGTCCATCTATAACCTTTAACCAGCCAGGCCGAAAGCAAATGTTTGCAGTGGCCTCAAGGGCCTGGGCGCAAGGCCAGGGCGCTGTCCGCATAGAGGCCACGCTGGACACCTCCCAGCTCCGGACCTGCAGCCCGAGATCTGGTTGAAGGCAGGTGAGCGAAGGAAAGAGTAATGCAGGGCTGCGTGCAAGGGCGCAGGGCTGTAGGAGTAAGTAAGTGCGTGGACGAGAGGCTGCGTGAGGGAATGAGTGATTCGACGCACACATGAGCCTGGGAATGGATGTATGCAGGTCCCGCTCATGAGCTGAGTGCTTGATGAGGGACCCACCGCACGAATGAATGAGTGAATGAGAGAATAAATACACGGTGAGGAAGGAGCTAGGAGAGTAAGTCGTGAGTGCAGACACCAAGGGATGAATCTCTGGACTGGTGCGTGAGTGAGTCAAGGAGCCAGGGGCTGTCGGAGGCACCAGTGAGTGGCTGAATGCATGAATTAGTTCATATATGCTTGAGTGAGAGAGTGAGTGAATGCATGGGTGCATGGGTCAGTGAATGGGTAGATGAATGAATGAGTGGATGCATGTGTGCATAAGTGAATGAGCTGGGTGGATAAATGAATGAGTGGATGCATGTGTGCATGAGTTGGGTGGATAAGTGAATGAGTGGATACATGTGTGCATAAGTGAATGAGTTGGGTGGATAAGTGAATGAGTGGATACATGTGTGCATAAGTGAATGAGTTGGGTGGATAAATGAATGAGTGGATGCATGTGTGCATGAGTTGGGTGGATAAGTGAATGAGTGGATACATGTGTGCATAAGTGAATGAGTTGGGTGGATAAGTGAATGAGTGGATACATGTGTGCATAAGTGAATGAGTTGGGTGGATAAATGAATGAGTGGATGTGTGCATAAGTGAATGAGCTGGGTGGATAAATGAATGAGTGAGTGAGTGCATGTGTGCATAAGGGAATGAGTTGGGTGGATAAATGAATGAGTGAGTGCATGTGTGCATAAGTGAATGAGTTGGGTGGATAAATGAATGACTGGACGCATGTGTGTGTGAGTGAAGGAGTTGGGTGAATAAATGAGTGAGTGGATGAGTTGGGTGGATAAATGAATGAGTGGATGCATACCTGCATGACTGACAAAATGGATTCCGATGAAAATCAGTCTCCCTGAGCCTTTTGCATTCATGTCCCTCCTTACCTTGCAAAGCCCTAGAGCTAAAGATAAGGGACCTATCAGGGTCCCTCTGCTGATGATGGATTTAGATAAAGGCCACCAAGACCCAAGCCAATAGGGACCTGTCCTAAGGCCCGTGGGCCCAGCCATTCCTCAGGACAGGTGTGCATTGGGGTAGGAGCCCTACTGAACCCAAATGCAGGACAGAGTGGAGGGTGTGGGCTGGGGTTGCCAGTCCTTAGGAGTTGTCCTGAGAAGTTGCTGCTATTTCATGGGCTGTCCTGATGGTCAGTCGTTGGAGACTCATTCAAGTTGACCATCCAAAACCGGACAGGCCAAGGAGGTCTGCAGCTCAGGTGTGGCTCTGAGGGCCACCAGTTTGAAACCTCTGGCTGCAGCACCAGGTGGGAAGGAGGTGGGTACCCAGGGATACCCTGGAGGGCTGGCCATCTGGGATACTCACCTGGAAGGAACAGGAAAAGAATGCGTGATTGGGGTTAATGCTGCCTGCAGTGCAGGGGACATGTGAGCCATGGAGTGTCGTAGAGGGAAAGAGGAGACTACCAGATGGATCGGAGAAGCCCTCAGGGAGGAGGCAGTAAACGCAGGCAGTTATTTCAGGAACTCTGTGGATCTACTTGTTCCAACAGGTTGTCACTGTCCTGCAGCTCAAGCCTCCAGGGGACAAACATCAGCAGAGGGAGTCAACATTCCTGCTATGCAGGACAAAAGAACTAGGCATCCTGCTCTACAGATATCACCTGGGGAGGGGGAAGGGGAGGGTCGTGTCCCCACTAAACCAGCCACCTGCCCCAGCAAGTTCATTCCGTGTCACTTCGAGACCCTCAGGACAAACACCAACATAGTTTTAAAAGGCAAACAAGGTCTTTGTCTTATGATGAAAATGATTCTGACACCCCACCCTCACTCCCCGTGGACCTCTGGGTCTTAGGGTCACCCCCCTAGGGTTCCACATCTCACACTTTGAGAACCAACACAATTTAGGCTTCCGAAGGCGAGAAGTTTTTATATTTCATTTTATTTTTAAGTTGGTTTTCAAGATTAACATTAGGATACAGACCTTTACCTGTGGTGCCAAAAAGTAAATAATTTTAAAAATGTAAAATTTTTATAGAAATCAACAACAAAGTAAGTATGCAGCATAGAGATTTTAAAAGGGCCAAGAGATTGAAGGTTTGATCTGCGGCTCTGCTCCCAGCCCGGGTGGGAGGCAGTCGATGTGTCTCTCTCACATCAATGTTTCTCTTTATCTCTCCCCCCCCTCCCTCCCTTCCACTTTCTCTAAAAATCGATGGAAAAAATATCCCTGGGTGAAAATTTAAAAAATAATAATAAAAAAATTAAAAGGCTGAGAGAACATCGAGGGTGCTAAACCTCATTTGTAATGGGCACAGTGTGGTGTGGATGTCGTCCATCGCCTATCAGACAGGCATATTTTTCTGACTCCATAAGAGGAATCTAGTTGATGATTGATTAGGTAGATGATAGATAGATAGATAGATGATGATGATAGATAGATAGATAGATAGATAGATAGATAGATAGATAGATGATAGATAGATAGATGATATAGATGATAGATAGTTTTATAGATAGATGATAGATAGATAGATAGATAGATATAGATAGATTGATAGATGATAGATATAAATGATAGATAGATAGATGATAGATAGATAGATGATAGATAGATAGATGATAGATGATAGATAGATGATAGATAGATAGAGATAGATAGATGATTAGATAGATACATGATAGACAGATGATAGATAGATAGATAGATAGATAGATATAGATGATTAGATAGATACATGATAGACAGATGATAGATAGATAGATGATAGATAGATAGATAGATAGATAGATAGATAGATACATGATAGACAGATGATAGATAGATGATAGATGATAGATAGATAGATAGATAGATACATACATACATACATACATACATACATACATACATAGATATAGATAGATATAGATAGATAGATGATAGATAGATAGATAGATAGATAGATAGATAGATAGATAGATAGATAGATAGATAGATGATAGATAGATAATAGGTGATGGATGAATAGATGGATGAATGGGTAGATTGATATGGACAAGGGAGAGACAAAGAAAGAGAGAAACGGGGGAAACACAAGGGGCCCCATGCACGGGCAGGGTTTCTCACACTCAGCATGGCTGACATCTGGTGCTGGATGACTCTCTGATGTGGGGCGTCTTGTTCACTGTAGGGTATTGAGCAGCCTCCCTGGTCTCCACCCACCAGAGGCCAGGAGCAAGACCTCTCTCCCAGCTGTAACAATCACACTGGATTGAGAAACTCTTCCTGCAGCAAGAGAACCTGGGTAAGAGCCAGCTTGGGGCTGAACCAAGGAGAACCCTCTGCCAGGCCCCAAGAAAAGTGAAGGGAGTGTTCCACCTTCCACAATCGCTCATAACGTCACCAAGGCTTGTCTCGGGATATCTTTCTGGAATCATCAAAGATGAAATCCAGTGAACACAATTGGGTCTGCATTCTCACAATGGCATCTCTCCCTTGAGTTGTTATTTAGCTGGTTAGACAAGCAGAGGGCTGGCTGCCTCCCTCCCGCCTCTGGGCAGCTCCCTCTCTACCACTTGGCTGACACATCTCTCTCCCCAAGTTGAGCAAGCAGGTCCTTTCTGTCATCGTGTCTCACCAGGAGCAAAAGTCAGGTCACTCTGGGCACATCCTGGGGACTCGCTTCTCAAGAGAGCTGAAGTCTTTGTTGTGCACTGTAAGGCGTCCAGTAGCATCCCTGGTGTC